ATTATTATTATTATTTAGTTTCCTTTCACACTCATGACTGCAGGGAGCTGACGTTTGCTGTAGGAGGTTTGATGTTCAATGGGACTGGGAGGCTCAAGTGCTCCGAGATTCAGATCTTGAAACCCAACCTCATACTCTGGCTGTGCAGCCCATCCTGTAGTGCAAGGTGGGACTGTGGCATTGGTGTCTCTGCTCAGGACCAAAGCCCATGGAGAGGCGCAGGCGCTTATGACAGAGAGACACAGTCCGATGACACAATGAGTTTCTCCTTTGACCCAGTGATGGGTGGGCCGGGCACATAGCAAGGATTATCCCAGCTGATATCCTGCCTCACAGGTCCTGCAGTACTGCTCCCTGTATGTATGCCTTCCTGTTCAAAATAAACCAATAAAGCTCAAATGCACACACTGTGTGCTGTGACCTCTCTTAACCTGTTCTAGCCAGTGTAGTAAACTTGTTTGTTTTGCAGTATTAAAGCTGACCTTGAAAGTCTTCTCCTTGAACCTATTTAACTTCCTTTAGTATAGGTAATAATGACAGCACACCTGGTTTTGTCAAGCTGGTTAAAAGAAAGCAAAGCTCTATTGAATTTCGGCTCACTTTCAAATCCTGCCGTACCTTTGTACTGAAGTTAGCTGCAGGGGCTGATTGGCTAGCCTTTCACTGTATTCTGTGTAATTTAATCCTTTGTAGGATTCTAGATGTATCGATTGAGAAGAAACTTTCATTTATACAGACCTGGAGAGTATCTATTTATACAGCAGGTCATATACCGGTGCAAATTGCTCAAGATAACAGCAGTGTCCCAACTGGAATATAAATCCCAAAACTTCCAGCTATGAGTCTACAGCTTTCTCCACTGGTCCATGCTGCTGACTTGACCAAAGTCACGAACTTTGTGCAACAACAAGGAGGAGGAGATCTTTCCAACATCTCCTGGTCTTCTAGGCAAGGGATCACCTGATGAAGATCCAGGGACCGGACTGAGGACACGGGGGTCAAAGAAATTCATCTCTCTACGTGGGGATCCCAGAAAGTGTGAGTAGGCTGCGTTCTCTGGAGCCTCACGGTTTCCATCAGTAATTGACATATTTAAATTGTATAGAAATATTGTAAAATAATTAATCCCATTGCTCACAGTAGCTCATCACTAGTCCAGCATTTCAAACATTTATCCATGAGCTCAAACTGCTCTTCCTTGCTTTAACTTAGTTGTTCCCAAAACTAGTCCTGGATGACCTCTGTCTTCTAGTTTTGCTCCAGTTATATTCTCAGTGATAGTGATAATTGACTTCAGATTTCTATCTGGGGAGTATTTGTAAATCTGCTGTCAGCCCTTCAAGGGTCAAGTGGAATTTGTAATCGGTATCGGCCCTGTACCAGTTTCTGAGTTTCAGATTTGCCCTCATGCAGATATGTTGCTTGAAATGAAACCAAACTAATCTCTGCAGAAGGAAAAAAATCTCATTGTAGGCATGACAGTATTATTCACTGCTAGACACCTACGCGCTTGTCACCAGTTGATCAACTAGTAAGAGCTGTTCAGTAAGAAATAAAGGCAAGCCAGCTGGGAAGAGGCTGGGTGAATTTCTGTGTGCTTACATTTTTAGAAGCTGCATCCTCGAAATTAGGTATTTTTTGCAATCAGGACTTAGACATAAGAAACAAGTTAAATAAAAATCTAAACAAGCAAGCAGATCAGTTCAGTCACGAATCACAACTGGAGATTCTGCATTTGGATTGAATGAATCCCCTCTGAGATTATGTTTTTCCAGTACCTGGGTTGGAAACCACCAATCTAACTCACAGCTCCCATTTTCACCCAGACCTCTGAAAATCCCACAAGAACCTCCTGGCTTAGACTCATCCAAACCACAACACCACTACTGCTGACCTAAATTACCAAAGAAGAAGTTTGAAAATATTAATGACCAGCTACTATGCTTGCTTTGCGTTTACTTACAAGTCTCCTGAGTGAGCTCTGTCACACTAGAGTTAGGAAAGTACTTTATTTAACAGATACTGCTTTGATACTGGTCTTCTTTAGAATGACTGTCTTTCAACCTCTATTCAAAGGGGATCTAATCTGAAAACATGGGGCGACAGATACAGACTCTCTTGATTTTGATCATTCCATTACATTATTCGTTGCAGTGATCCACATGCCCCAACCTTCACCCTCTTCCCCAAAGCCACGTTGTTTGAATATACAACGCATTCATGCAAATAGAAGCAGCTGCAATTCGGCGCTGATCTGAAAAGCAAATATTATGTCTCATTCTGTTCCCAGCAGCGGATAAAGAAGCAGCCTTCGGTGACAATGGGGAGGAACCGGGCCAAGGAGTGAGAAAGAAACGAACATTTTCTCTTGGGCGAATGAATTTATCAAAATCTACCGGTAAGATTTAAGTCTGTTTTGAGCACTCTCTCCGAGTGTGGTATAACTCATTGTCGTTCGGTGTTAACGTTTTTAAAAATGAAACCCTCTCCTGTGCTCCCGAGGGATGCTGGTTCTTCCACCAGGTGTAGACGTTAGCGGGCCAGTCGGAAGGTTTAACAGCTGGACAGTTTTAAACAAGGCAGCGGCGGAGACCTGGGCTGAACAGGACGCGCTTGTCCTCTTTAATCTATGAACTAGAGCATGGCGGCTGCACCGTGCAACAAAACACACAGAACCTTTGTATTATCGCCTGTAGACTGCGTTTCGTATTCCTGTCCATACTAACTCTTAAAGCTGTGTCACATTGCACGAGTCCTCAATACAGCCCGCAAAAGGGCTAAAAGCACATTAAATGCATGCAAAATATATTTGTGCTAATATCAATATTTTTTTCCCAGTTTTCTAGGACGAGCTAGGCTTATCTCATACAATAAAAGCTATGACGCACGTGGAATTGAAGACACCTGCTGCCTAATACACCTTTTGAGTCTGAGAGAGAAAGTCAGGTAGTTTTCATCACCTGTGTATATTTGACTAATCAACCGACAGGCTGGGTGTTCGACAGGAATAATTGCAGCTTTGTAGTTAGCACACCATGGAAATGCGGTGTACTTTTCACAAGATACGGTTGAAAGAGAGAGGTTTACCACGACAAAAAATCAAAATACTTTTGCCCCTTTCGTTGGCGAGAACAAACAAAGCAATCCAGAAGGTGTATATGTAATAGTGCGACGTTATATATCGATCCTCGATGATGAAATTCGGCCAATTACATCGTGGCTTTAAATAATCAGTCACATGAGCTTTTTAATATGACCTAATTTTCAAATAAAAATGTCTCGATAACGGCTTTGCCTATTAATGGAACTACCAACGATCACCATCAAAACGTTGTTGGCTTCGCTTCCTCCTCTTAAATTCTTGTCGCTTTCACGGATTAATTTCTGATTATTTTTTCAAGGTGGAATTGACCAAAATAGATCATTCTTCTATGAATACATGACTAAATTCCCAAACCAGTATAAAAGTCAATCATTTTAAGGAAACTGTGAATCACTTTGTGGTTAACTAAACTTTTCGGCAAAACTGATTTCATCATTACAAAGCCTACGTAAACTAACAGCATGAGTTGCCTTTAGCGGTTTTCGTAACAAGTCTTCGTTCGTCTTTTAAGAGATAAACACAAATGTATACGCTAATTAAAAACGTTGGGTCGATGTGGTCGTGTTGCCCGAGACCCTCAGACGACCTTAATGGGAGTCAGAATTATTTCACGGTGAACGACCCGAACCCAGCAGGTAGGTGAACTGCTCACTTCTTTTCGCCGTTAGTAGAACCCTTCCATTGTCAATTTGGCAATTTAAAAGTAAACGTCTGGTTTAATTATTCAGAAAGTAATGGCGTAGTTCATTTAATTTTAAAAACAAAGCATGTGTCCTAAACTGTATAAAGTATTTTTTATATGAGTCATATTATTTTGAGTACCTGGGCTTTTATGAACCTAATCGTACTGTCGCTTGAGGTTAGTATAACAAAGAGTACCGGTATTGTTTTTTATTGCCCATTATAATCTCGGTGTTTATGCGTATCTTGCAACAACCTAAACAAATACGTATATTTACGATTAAGGTGCATCCGACCTTAAGCCATAAACGCGGAAATATGTGACAGACGGGAGTTTTACTGCATCAGGCTGGAGGCGTTCCTACCTGTCACAGGTGACGGGTCCCCGCCTCCCAGCATAGGGCCCGTCTGCTAGGCACGGTCTGTGCTCGTTCGCTAAACCCCACTGTCAGGCGAGCATTGCCTTCGTCTCTGGCTGTCAAATGTTTTCTCCCCTGTTTAAATAAGTTCTAATTAGGCTCCCCTCTCTTGTGTTCAGTCGGAGACCGAAAAACGAAAGTTGCTGATCAGGAAGTAGAAGGAGAGAGAGAGAGAGGAAAGTGCAGCCTAATGAGACGCAGAGTCAGAACTGCTTTTTCTCGCGTGTAGTTAGCAGTCTGACCTGACAGCCGCAAAGAGAGTTTGTGTTTTCCCTACGCAGACGGGGAAAATGGGATCGGCGAGCCTGGGATAGTGTTAAGTTTTCAGCGGGTCTCTGCGAAAACGGACGCCTCATGTATTTTTAGCCAGTATATCGAGTAAACTATGAGCGAGGAGCAGGCAAAAGGAGGCAGCGGACGGATTGTCAAGGCTTTGACACATTTTGGGAAAGATGCGACGAAGAGTAAGTAAGGTCTCTTTAATCGTATTCTGTAGGAGAGTTTTTTTTTTCTAGGACAAAAATGCGAAGCCCCAGACTGACAGCTCTGGCCGTGTTTGATATTGCATTTCAAGTACCCAGTAATTTTCCCTTATCCTCTTTGAATCGGCTGGAAAACACCGTCTTAACCGTTGCGCGCTCGCGTTGTTTCAGCTTTGATCTCAACACAAAAATATCCCGACCATAAAGTCAGAAGCAGCGCAGCCCGAGGAACTCCATAGAAACTGTTTCACTTTCTCCTTTTATTTTTTGGCCAGCATTGTTTTTAGCGCTAATGACTCGAGAGAGCACAACTCTGGATTCAATAATGTTTCTTGCCGGGGCTGGTAATCTGTGCAATGCTAACCTTTACACGCATTTTGTTTGAGAGTCTGGTATAGATAGCACGTGTCTTCCAGCAATGTTTTTTTCTAAAATGTTGCTTTAGAATGGGAAACCCACGTTCAACCCCACACCCCTTTTTCTGTGTTCCCAGGCTCTGAAGCTCTGGCGGCAGACCAGCTGTTAATAACTTGTACCTGTTTCACATACTAGTTTCCCCAAGGAGTGTCCTGCCTAAGGGTAAATGGCGTCTAGCGACAATTGAGTCTCTCTGATCAGTTCGTGTCCCGAACTTGTGCGCAATGATCTATTAGTCGGACGCCTTGGTCTCGATTCACCCGGAGAGCCGTTAGCGAGGCAGAATCAGGTGTGGATTCTGGTCTGGTCATGCCAGGTATGGTTTCTGCATTTGGCGAAATCTCCCCATGATCTGTGAGAGTCTTGCACAGCTACTGTATGACCTGGTAAATACCCTGGCCTTAAAGGAGTGGTTTAATTTACGTTACACTCTGCTGCCAACTAGACAGATGTCAGTCATGGGTAAACAGACACTCCTTTTTAGAAGAAAAAAAATGTTTCTAAAGGTGCTGTTCGTGACTTAGGAGTGGAACTGAACACTTTGTATTATCTTCATTTTCCCTTATGGAAGATTGCAACTGCTGTATGTAAGAGTGTTCCTGTCTGGTGAATGGACGGGTGATGGACTTTGACTTGAATTGTATTTGATGTAGACAGGTCACGAGTCGATCATTTCCACAAAAGGCATGTTGCTTCTGCCCAGGGCCCACATGTGTCCAAAGAGGACTACTTTTTTTTTTAAGCTTTTCTTTCTGGGAAGCAGTGTGTACCCAGTCTGTGCAGTGCGGGGCTGGACAGAGATTCTGAGGAGCACAGCTCTGGGCAGGCTGTAATAAATCCCTGGAGCATGTGAGGGTAGGCTCTCCCATCCAGGTCCCTGGTAAACTAGTCTTCCCAGGGCTCTGTCACACAGTCTGTGCTGGTTAATCCACAGACGGGGTTTCCAGATCTTGATCGCATAATCCAGAACAGCACTGTTGTCCTAGGGAAGGCATAGGACACTTGCATTCTGTTGGACCTGTGTCCAACAGGATCACTGACTAGCTGTGCTTTCAGGTTAAACTGGTGTTTTGTCTTTTCACTGTTTGGGTTGTTGTCCATGTTCAATTTTTTTTACAGACTGAGACAGACCATCATTAATTGCTTACAAAAATATTCTCAGGCATACTGGGTCATGATTAAACATGAATTGGTATCTGGTTGGCTCAGTGGTTAGCGTTGTGGCCTTGCAGTGCTGGGGCACTGGTTTCAATTCCTGGAGTGATGTGTGAGTGGCAGAAAAAGAGGGTTTTTACTGTGATTATTATCATTACTGCTATTGCGTAGTAACATGGCAACTGTTTGCTCAGACCTGCTGGAATTGATCAGAGAAGAGCTCTATAAAAGCAGTTTCCATTGCGGGCAAAAAAACAAAACGGTGGTGTGAAATTGTGTACAGTGGTCCCTGGTGCACAGATAGAGGTGCAGCTAGCGGACCTGTCAGGGTCAGTTTTAGAAATCTGAGATTGAAGTCGGCTGGCTGTGTGAATCAGGAGAAGGAACAGTACAAACCGAAAGCTTCACACAAGCTAAGGAAAGGTTTGAAAGCTTTGTCCTCATGAGCCTGCTTGAGATTTTTTTTTTTGGGGGGTTCTTTCTTAAATCCTCCTGGCTGTGGTCAAAACAAATGCTGAATTGTGCTGAGAAAGGGATTCAAAAACAAATGAGAGCAATTTTTATTAAAAAAAGAAGAGGGAGGGCTCAAGTTGAGCCATGTCCTGGAACATGGTCACTTCTGAAATGAGCAGCCAGATGTCAGGCATCAAGTGCTACAGGGATTAACAGAACACACAGACTAACTGCATGTGTGTGGCTCTAGGTCACAAACTGGCAATCCAAAAAACCCTCGTGCAGAATTTCAGCAAACATGTTCCCTTCCTTGTGCCACAGCAATCTGAAGGAGAAAAAAGACTTGCCTGTTACGGGGATTTTAAAATTCTGAAATCGGTGTAGATTCCAGGAAGACACATTCAAAAGCAACATTTGCTGATTTATGACTGTTGGAACTGCAGCAGATGTCAAGACAGAAGGGTGGGATCTGAAGAGGATCTGTGCTTGTCGGCAGCCCCAGGGGCTGAGAAGAGGAATCGGAAGGAAGGTGTGAGAGAGATTTGGGTGCAAACCTGTGAAGAGCTGGTTTTTCTGTTATGTGGCGGCTGGTAACGGACGCTCATTTCTGCGTTCTTGACACTGCTGCGTGTGCAATGCAGATATGGTACTGTATTTTACACACATGACCTGTGCAAGTGAGGAGAAAGTCAAAGGCAGTCTTTGAAGGACCAGACCCTCGTGTCTGTTCGAGGTAGAAGTCTGTCTTCACTAGGCTCAAGGATCACCCCTAACAGTGTTATCATTTAAGATAGTGGTTGCTAACCCTGGTCTAGGGCAAGACTTGTGCCTGCAGGTCTTAGATCCAGCTGAGCTGTAAAATACTGATGCTGATTCACTGGGAATAATGCCAGCCAAGGATTAAGTTTAGGTTTCAGTGTGTCTGTGTTTGAATCTGTCTGCCCTGGGGACAGGTGTCCTGTCCGGGGAGTACTGTGCTTTGCTCCCATTACTTGCTGGGATAGGCTCCAGCTACCCTGCGACCATGAACTGGAAGAAGCAGTTAGAAAATGGATGGATGGATTAAGTGTATTGTGGGGGATGTCTGAGTGTTTTATTCACTTAATTTACTATTTATGTGGGTTAAACTGCTTGGCTGAGGACCAGTTGCCTGTCCATTAGGATGAGGAGGCTTGGACCCCCTGCAGAGTGAAGAGTGACCAAGGGGCAGCTACGCACGTGATGTGTTAGAGGATAGAAGCAGTATTTCAAGTTTTTATTTTTTAAGTTAAGGATGTGATGTTGGGAATGGTTCCCAATAAGGACATCTGAGGCCAATTGAACTTGGCTGTTACCCCTGTCGAGTGTTCATTATAATCTATGTAATAATTGATCTCTTTGCTTAGACGTTTGTTCACCATATCCTGCACATAGTCCTTGGTTTCTAAAATACCCTACTTCAAGCATGTTATTTCAGCAACTTCAACATAATTGTATGATGGGCTTATGATTAACAAAGAGAAATTACAAGTTTCCACTCATTGACTTTATGAGGGCTCTTCATGTCCCTTCGACAGGTGTCTGCTTAGTTACATTTTGGGTGATGTGATGGTTCAGTTACCACAAATGGGGGTACTTTTTCTGATGAGAATAAAACTTTAAAATCAGTCCCATACATCAGCATATTTCATGTTCTGGTCATCTGTCTGTGGTCGGTGCAATAACTCAGGTAATGGCTTACTCCAATGGGCAGCTCTGCATACTGCCTTATCCATAAGCACGAGGTGATCCATCACTATCGCGGAGGGTACAAGATGCCAAACTATGGCTACCCATGTAAAGGATGGAACTGGTGTTTGTTTTCGCTCAGTTTTTTTTTCTCTGCACACCGTTCCCTTACGTGCTTGAAGATCTGCAGTACACACTGAAACATTTTTCCAGTAACATCGGGTTTTTTTCAATACTGTGTTTGCAAGGGATGTGTTGAATACCTTTAAAAATCAAAGTGGTGCTTTTCAGGGCTGTGTGGATTATATCATTGGATATTAAGGAGTTGTGGTTTACACGGGAAAAGCTCAAACTATTATCTCTTCCATCTGTATATATAATGAACTGTTTCGAATGCTACTTATTTGACAACATCAGCAGAGTGGCCAAAACATTGCACTATTTGGCAGGGTCCTGAATTGTATCCTCAATCCTCAACAGTTCTTTCCAAGCAAAACTAGGGCAGAAATGTCCCTGAGGGGGAGAATAAGAGTCCTCTTTGTATAAGCACCTCAGGAACTGTCCTTCATTCTTACAGAAATGGCAACTGAGTAGACGCAACTGAAAACTTGGAAAGACCCTTTGCCAAAAGATTGTAAATCTAATTTTCCAAGTCATTGGTCTCTTTGTAAAATACGTTTGGCTGTAATGACTGTGCAAATTCATCCCTTGTGAACACTCTGAAATACAAAATCAAAGCATTGCGTCTGCCTTTAAAGCTCAGCCACTTTTACAAAACAAACAATTCTGCCTGTCACACGGGCAAAATGAAACCAGTACTTCCAGTTTAATAACTGCCAGATATGAGGAAGTTGCTAGCTTAATAATTTATTTTTCTTGTTAGACCTTTTCTCACCTTCTCTATTTTAGGAAAGCCCCTAATATGTGAGAAAGAGACATGTTTTTTTTTTTTTTAATCTGACATAAGCAAAAATATACTGTAAACCTGTTTGGCCACAAGAGAAGTATTGATTGAATGAAAGTCTTTCCTGCAGTGACTGTGTTTTAGGCATGTGGAGCAATTCATTAGGTGATTCATCTAATGCAAGACAAAGGCCTAGATTTGCACTGACCTTCCAAAGCCATGAGCGGTCCTACAGCTTATGTTCCCTGTAAATCATGGAACCATGCTAGGTGCTTGAACATGTAGATGTCTTTTCCCAGACAGTGGAGGCAAGTAATTGCAATGATTGTAAGTACGCCACATGTTTTACAGATAGGACTGCCAGACATTTGCTTTAAATATCTCACTAGAGTAGGATTACAGATCCTGACCTGTCACATTCAGTTTTAACACCAGCCAATGGTTGCTGAAGCTATTGATCAAATAAAATCGCAAAACAAGGTCACTTGATGATGAGTGAAAGTGCCTCCCATTCTCCTTTGGAGTGGATACCAAAGCAGTTTTTTTTTAAAGACTGATTTTCTTTTGATCTTTTTTTTTTTCTGTGCAGATGAGAAGCCCTGTGTTGAGGCTCCCAGTGCAGCTCATGGGAATGGGAATAACCTTGGGCCTTCTGTGGCTCAGCACCGTGAGTTCAAAAGGGTCGTGTGAGTGGGGTCTTGGTACACAAGTGTACAAGTGTAGAGGTTAACCCTGTGATAGGCTAACATTTCATCCATATTGTCAGCCTGCTTAATGGCCTTTTGGAAACCAGGATGAGCTCTGGCCCGAGTATGAACTCCACTTGATGGTTTGTCTCTCTCTCTGTCTCTGGACAGCAGATCCCATGAAGTCCAGCGAGAACGATGGTGTGGATAATATATCGAAGAGGTTTAGTACGCTGTTCTCTTCATTCCGGGGGAAACTGACCAAAGAGAGTGAGTATCTTCAACTATCTGTGTCCAAGCTGTCCAGCTGTGGTCCTGGAGGGCTAGTCTCTGCAGGTTTTATTTCTAACGTGGCTGTTAATGACCTGCATCAGCTTGTTACTGGCTTAACGGGACCATTTTACCAACTGCTACCTGTTCATCAGCTGTTGCTGCTTTAGAGAGACCTACAACGTTAAAAGCTAAAACACGGGTCGGAGGATGTCTGTGGTAACTAAATCAAAGTATGTAGAACTACTAAAACATGGTGTTTCTTTTCACAAAGGGTTGTGGGAGACTGGAACACGCTACCCAACCATGTTGAAACTGATATGTTGGATTTTGTTGGAAAATGCTGGATAAGAAGGTCAATTAGGTTCTAACTACCTAACCAAATGGCCTCCTGTTCTTTGTAACCCTTGTAACGTTTCAAAACCTTCCAGGACTGCAGCTGGGTCACCTTGGTCTAAGGATCATTCATAGTTTTTGTGTGCTTAACTGAAAAAGTATTTTTAAGAGGGGTTATTCTATTCATGCTGCAGTTATGCCCTTGTAAAGACCAGTTATATTTTGTGTGCAAAACAAACTTTGCCTGCATTGCTGAAATACCAGAGCAGTCAAGCCCCACTTTTACCTGTAGTTATGAATATAACGGTGTGGAGGCTCTGTGGGTAAGGATCAGCACCTGTGGCTAGAAGGTTGCCGATTTGTATCCTGCATCCAGCAGAGGACCCCTACTCTGGGCCCCTGAACGAGGCTCTTAACCCCATCTGCTCCAGGGGCGCCGTATAAATGGCTGACCCTGTGCTCTGACCCCAAGCTTCTCTCCCTGTCCGTGTGTCACAAATTCCTAATGCAAGAAATTGTACAGTATATGGTCAATAGAGTGATCTTGAATCTAGACTAGGAGTCTGTATGGGAGAGAAGGACCTGCCAGGTTTCATGTAAGCACCGTCCTGCTCTGTGGAGGAAGCAGGGGGCAAGCCCAGTGCAGCCATTCCACAGCTGACTGCAAAGAGCTTTGCTAAGAGGTTAGGTGTAAGAGGATCTGATGCAGGAAACAGTGGGGTGGTTAAAGAGAGAAAGGAGGCTGCTTTCTAGGGAGGGTGCAGTTTTGGTGGAAAGGCTGGTCTCACTAGATGGCTCAGGTGGCCTCCTGTCGTTTCGAACTGTTCTTGAGTAGATGGTACCATCGCAGAAGACTTTTGCCAGGGATCTGCATCGTTGGTTGTGGGGAAAGTGGCCTTCAAAGGTTAATCTCCCAATTGTGATGTTCTAAAGCAGGGTTAAAATAATGCCAGTCTTATTTTCGCACATGGTTGCTGTTTTTGGAATATACATGTTTTACGATTTACATGTTCACAACAAGAGCGGTTTCTGATGATGCTGTATTGCAAGCAGGAACGCAGCAGCAGTGAAAAAAGGAGACCTTACGGCATATTGTGCTGTTGCTGGGCTCAATTAATCTGAAGAGTGTGACACTTTCACTTTTAATGCGCTGGACAAAGGGTGGCTTTGTAGCTAATGTGACCACAAGACATCCTCTGTCCAGCTTTTTACAAACCCAAGTAAATCCTCAGAAAGGTGGGGGTATTTTACATTTCTGGGAAGTCTTATTCAGTAATTTATTCCAGACAAAAATACTCCAGAGTTATAGGGTGCATTCTTAGGATACTTGGTTAATACTCAATTGTGTGCTTTGCTTATCCTGAACATGGCCTGGAGCCCAGGGTCTTCTGACAGGTTCACAGAAGCCATCTGATGCAGGTTATGCTTTAGAGAGCAAGACCACATGGGTAATTTGTACTGCCGTGTCTCCAGAGCCCGGGAAGGATCAAGCTCCACCAGTGGCCAGTGATGAGATCACCAGGTCAGGCACAGAGCCCAGAGAGCCGCGCTACGCCAGCGGGCAATTTTTCTTCGAGTACCTGGTGGTTGTGACTCTGCAGAAGAAGAACGATGGAGGATATGAGCCTCAGATCATCTACCAGTTCCCAAAGGTGACTATGTTCTCCCCCCCCCCTTAGCCTGATCTGTGCAGAAATCAATAAGCAGGCACGTGCTGCTGACCATGTGACCAGGGGGATAGTGTTGAGATGAGACAGTCGGGGGGTGGGCTCTCTTGGAGATTTGTGGTGACTCATTGGCATCTGCAGGCTTGCAGTGATGTTGACCCACCTTTCGGATACCATGGAGCTTGCAGAGTGTTTGAAGATGAATGCCTTAGCTTATCTGCTCTTCCTTATTCTCTCTGTACTGTGCAACTGTTGTTTAGTTGTTTAGGTGATCTGAGATGCAAAGAAACATTCCAAAATCGGAGCCCACCTCCCATCTAAACATTTTGTATTGGAAAGCTATCAAAAGAAACTGTGGGCTTAGCATCAGATCTGCCCTGGAGATTAAAGTTTTGCTTTTCTGCAGAGCAGTCTGCTCTAGGGTTTTTCCGACACATTCGGTCCTGTTGCAGCACTTTCATGTGAGTGATGGTTTTTCACACAATTTTCATTACAGATAAAGTGCATACCAATAACCACTTCTGCAGAATATTTATCTGTGTTTTGATTAAATTGCTTATTTGAGCCATTTTCTTGCTGTTTTTTTGGAGTTTGTGGTTTTGCTTTCTACAGTTCACACCTTGCTGATGCATATCTGATAACTGTAGCGGTTTGGACTGTTGGTGTTCGTCACACTGCCACTTGGTGTAATGTTACAAAATTAAAATGCCAAGACTGACTCTTTTTTTCCACTGGTCTTGAAATAATCATGCTGGGATTACACTGAGCCTGAATCAGTGGAGATGTGCCTATTTTATGTGTTGAGTTCTAATAATTTGAGATGTAATGAATGGAGATTCCCTATGCTGACCACAACATCTCTTTTTTTGCCTGTCTTGGCGCTGTAGCGTGATGGGATGGTGAGATTCCAGAAGGAGGAGGAGGAGAAGACACTCAAGGCCATCACGCTTTTCTGTTTCCCTGAGGGGATCAGCTGGGCACCCCTTACTGAATATAGGAGGTAAATTGCACAGACCACTGACCCCCTCAGTCTGCTATACAGAGGACTCGAAATATACCGCTAACACTCAATCCATGTTTTCCAATGAGTCCTCTGGTTTTGAGATGCAGCAGGTTCGGATTAAATGAAAAACTGTTACTCACCTGTCAGACCGTTTCTACCCTGACTCTAGCTGTGCAATCAAGAGATGAACAAGACCTTTGTTTTATATAGCACCTTCCATGAGGCATTGTCTCAAGGTGCTTAGTGGGCCTGTGCTCTGCAGGTGGCCTGTGGGCGAACAGAATATCAACCCGACTTCTAAGAATCTCGCTTCCAGCCAAGCTTTTAATGGGCTGAAATTGGTTTTTATTGGTTGGATATTTCAATTATCCATGCTGGTCCCTATAGCTGAAGCTTTGTAGCAAAATGCGTTATAAAATATTCCACACATTGGAAAAACTAGATTTAAAACCAATCCTTAGACACTGGATACAGGTACTGTTGCAAAGTAGTGTCGGTAGTCACTGCAATGTGTGTGAACGTATGTGATCTCGAAAACCCAGACACGTGCCACTTCCTGTTGAAGTATAGGTGACGGCTGTCTCAAAAATAAAAAACAATGTTTTTTCCAGTGGTTTCTCGATACAACGCTCACGAAAGCGCTGCTTGAACAGCTGCTCTTAAACACTTTCTGTGCTTATTATATAAAATTACTTTGCATAACCACTCTTGTAGGGAAGTGTGGGTTTAACAGCTTCACACACTGCTTTATCATTAGTGAGCCGAAGGTTGATTTTCTAACTGTAGTGTACCTTTTCTTTCTGGTGACTTTAAACACTTTTGTGAGCTTGGTTGTGCATTTTTTTAAATTGGATTTGTCCTGCTTGTTTCTTTCTTTGTCACTTTTAGAATTGGAGTTGCTTATCCCTATCTGTAAGCGTTATAAAAAGCAGCCTTTTAATGGTGATTAACATCCCAGACCTTTCCTTTTAGAACAGCACATGGTGGGGGTGGGGGGGAACATTCCGGCACAGCTGGTACAGAAAGAAAAATCTATCGAAATGTGATGACTCAAAGCTATGCAGCCATAGATACAGGACACTAAAATTTGAGTTAGTACAAGGAAGTGGTAAATTCACAAGTTCCAGAACAATTCTAAGAGTCCTGAGCTTTTAGTTGCAGAAGTAGTAACTTGGTACATTTTCCAAAGAGAAATCGGAGCTCATCAATGCAGGGACAGTCTTGTCAGAGCAGGTTAACCTCACGTTGTGGGAAGCCCCTGGCAGCCTTGTGATAAAACCGAAATAACTGTGCAGTTGACTGGATTTGACTGGGCTGGGCTGGAGAGAGAATGATTGAACACAGATGAAGACTAATAGTGACAGTCAGTCAGAGCTTATTGCATGACTTGGGAATTCAGTGCAGTTTGGGCATGGTCTTTCGTTAAAGGGTAGTTGGTCCTGCAGGAGATGTGACTTGTAAGAATATAAGGGAGGCTGTTGTAACCTCCCACTCCTTTTGATTAGTAGTTATGTGGTCTATAGACTTTGTCTAGGTGTTCTGGAAGGAAGCCAGGGTGTTGAGCTGAGCATCATGGCTGGTTAAGCTCTTCCAGACTCCCTCAATCCTTTGAGTAAAGTAGTAGCTTTTGGTTTTTCCAAAGATGTTTTTTATCTACATCCACCTCTGTCAAGTATAATTTTAAAAAGTCTCCTGGAATGTTGGATGATTTTGGGATATGGAATTTTGGCATCACTGTACAACAGAAAACAAAATCCCTTATCTTGATCTCTTCAGATCTCAAATACCTGTTGAGTTTCTTCCTTTCAGGGACAGGGTCTGAAGTGCTAGAAATCTGGCCTGTGAAAGGTGGCGCCCAGTCATATAGTTGTTGGAGGTAGAATGGATTAAAATAATTGATCATCTGATGGATCGAGCTGGTTTCCTGGTCTGGCCACTCAGCTCTTACAGTAATGAAATCATAAACTATTTTAAAGCAGCTTTTCTCTGCACATTTGTACCACCTTCTCAAAGAAGGGTTTCAGTTCGGCTTTCTACAACAACAACAACACATTTCTCCTTTGTCTCTGTTGGTTGGAGTGGTGATCACAATCCTCAGTCCCTATATGATAATCCTTAATACCTGCCAACTAGAAAAGCCTGCATATTAACAGGGGTGGACTCGTTACATGCTTGTCTCTAATGGTTTTTCCACTCATTTTTCCAGTGAAACCTTCTCGTTCGTCCTGACAGAAATCGATGGGAGCAGGAGAAATGGATACTGCAGACGCTTACTGGTAATCATTTCCTATGTTACTGGAGCAGTAATTACAATATAGAGAAATATGAACTACATTGCTGCATAGGCAGGGGAAGATTTAAGCTCAACTTCCTTTTTTTAAAGTATCTTGCCCTTTTATGATTGTGATGAGAATGCTAATATGCAGTTTGAACAAATGGCTTTGCTCTGCACCTCCAAGAGGACAAAGCTGTACTCTTTCCTGCTATACTCCAGGAAGCCCTTCAAAGATTCTAAACACAACCCGTTTGTGGGATAGTGTCTTACAGAATTGCACTACAATGTTTTTTAAATACCCAGTTGTATTAGTCTAACTCTCTGACCTGTTGTGATTTTAGTTATTGTCTGATTCACATGATGGTTGATTTGTTGCCATCAACAGACGCCCAGTTTAGTAACCAGACTCTGTTTTCTCTTGTCTCAAAGCCTCATGGGAAGGGAGCGCGGCCACCAGAGGCCTACTGCATCATCAGCAAGCTGGCCTGCTTCGGACTGTTCTCCAAGGTACAGGCTGGATCAAAGCTTATAGGTCACAGTAATCGCAGGTTTACATACTGTAATGTGGCACTTCATTCCCTTCTATGCATCAAGTGTAGTCCTTTACAAACATGTTGGAGGAAAATGAAAGCTTCTCTCGGTCTCAAGGGGGTAGTTATACAGCATGTTTGGCCAGAGTGTTTCATTATTACTGCTAGAGCATTCCTGCCAAGGAATTGCATAACTTTCTGTTTCTATGCTGTTGTTTTCCATTAAATGACGGCAGTGTTATTTTTTTTCTTTCTGCTTAAGAATTTAGTCTGCTCGATGACCCCTTGACCTGCAATGTGTAGTGGTGAATAACCAAAGGCCAATCTTCCAATGCCTTGCCTCCGGCACAGTGCCAGGAAATGAAGGAACCGTTTCCTCTGAAAGTCCTGGGGAATTCCAGCTCCCTTTGTAAGAACTGTCCGAGGAAATTAATGGCCTTAACAAGAGATTGGATGCCCAAAGTGTCGGTTTTCTCACTTGCGATTTCTTGCTTGTCTCAGCAAGAGTCTGCGTGAATGCCAAGCCAAAGTTTAAAGAGAATAGCTGTCCTGATATTTGAATGGTTTGTCAGCTACTTTGTGCTAGAAAGAGCAGTACAGAAAAGATTGAAGTCTTCCTATTTTGGGCTCTTCCCATGGCACATGGTTAATTATGTTGCTAGGGGGGGATGTGCAGTGAGCAACAGTCACTAGCCAGCCCCCTGGAAAGGGGGTAAAGAGTTAGGATACTCTATACAGGTCCCCCAGAGTACTGTAATGTAATTAAAAAGATACAATTATTTATTCACTTATGTGGTGGAAAGGAGAATGGTGTTGAATGATTCTCACAATGACCTTGACAAAGTACCATCTTACTGGTGAAGGACTTTGATGTGGATATCATTTTAACATATCATTACAGAGTGCGTCTGCCAATTAATAGAGGTTTCTTTAGATCCATTTTCAATGTGTAACTGCCATCAGCGTTATTGGTTTCTGCTTTGGCAACACTGTAATGCATCAGTCATGCCAGTGAGGCTCTTTGAATTTGAATTGGTTGTATCTACAGTATTGTGTGGTACAGAAGTGACCTCGCCCATCCCCTCCCCTCCCACGTTTGAATCCCAGATGGCATAAAATTCTGCGAAAACAGAGGACCTGGCCGTTGGCATTGTGGAATTTGCCATTGTATAAGGAGAGTGGTCCTGTGTGTGGCTCTGAGCCCACGAGTGACCGTGATTAAATCCCAGCAGCACCAGGGCTCCATGCGTCACATGGGTGCTGGTTAGAATTTTAGGAATCCCCCAAAAGTAAACGTTGAGCCTCTACAAGCAGCAAAAACAGCTTGAACAAGCTATTTCTCTTCTTTCGCAGTCCAGTTTTTGCAGGGTTTCCTTCAGCTGGGGTGGGGATAATGGGGATAGTGGCTTGTTCACCCGGTCAACAGAACTGAGATCTGTGGAGTCTCCCGGCTCCGAGAATAATGGAAGTCTGTCTTGTGCTCTTTGAGCCACCCACCCATTGCCTGATACTGAGAGAGCCCATTCGTTTCAATGGGGCTTCCAAAAGTTTAGGTCACAATCTAGAATTGTGATCGTTGCCAGACACAGATATTCTAGAGGAGTGATCCTCAGTCCTGGTCCTGCAGAGTCACAGGTTTGATGCGATGTAGCCCTTGGGGCCCCTGACCTCAGTCCTGGTCCTGGGGACCCCGACGCCTGATTTTCACTGCACCTGAGCTCTTAAATGAGCCCTTTTGCTGAACTGACAAACTGCTTGATTAGAACCTTTGCAAGTTTGGCCGGTAGAGGAATCCTACTCCGTTGGGCCCCTGAGCAAGGCCCTTAATCCCTGCTGCTCCAGGGGTGCTGTAAAATGGCTGACCCTGCGCTCTGACCCCAAGCTTCTCTCCCTGTCTCTGTCTCATGGAGAGCAAGCTGGGGTATGCAAAAAGACAAATTCCTAATACAAGAAATGGTATATGGCCAATAAACTGATCTGATCTTATCTTAAAAAGTTCAAATTAAGCCTTTGCAAGGTGTGTTTAGGGTGTGATTATTTTGAAAGCTCTGGAGGAACAGAAGCCAGTGGCTGTGTGTGGGTCCCCAGCACCAGGACTGAGAAATTAGGAGGTGTAACTCAAACTGAAGTGCTGGAGACCAGGGTGATGTTGGTAACAGCATCATAAAGTCACCCGGCCTTTAAGAGACTAATCCCTGGAAGTCCAGAGGCGAGACCTGCTGCTTCCAGAGGGACCCACGCGGTGAACAGCGCCCCCTGTTGGTTTCCGTTGCAGATTTTTGACGAGGTGGAGAAGCGCAGCCAGATTTCGAAGGCGATGATCTACCCGTTCATGCAGAGCCTCCGGGAGGCGCCCTTCCCTGCGCCGGGAAACACCGTCAAAGTCAAGAGCTTCATCCCCGAATCCGGCACGGAGGTAAACCAGCACAGAAACCAGACGTGCGGCTAGATTACAGAAACGAAGTGTTCCCTTTATTTTACAGTAGCTCTCCTATTGCGTTGCATTTACAGCACACATCCGTTCATTTAAATACCCAGTTAGACTAATACAACTGGGTATTTAAAAGGAGCAAAACATCATGTAGCCTTAACATTAAGAAGAGAATTAAGAATCCTCACCGAGGATAATATGTTGCATAATTAAGACAGCAAATTGTACCCTGTTTCAATCGTGGAACTTGTTTGTGGTGCCCCCTGTATAAATATTTGTAACCCCCCCCCCAAAATATCCCCTGCTGACATCACAGGGGACACTAGCAGCACCAAGATAAAAAACCACCTCACTCTTTTGACATTCAACCTCTGAGCCTAATGCTCTCCAAAGTCATCTGCAACCCCAGAGCCTTTCATACGATGTATACAGCCACTTCCCCATCTGTTACTCTTTCAGTCAAGTGTTCTCCCTCAGTCAGATAAACACGCCCTGATTGCTGCTCGTTGTGGTTTATTCCTAACCATTACTCTCATTACACTGTTTCCACCCCAGTCTCCACAGGAGTGCGGCTCAGTGCGTGACCAGCAAGCGCTGAACCAGTGTGAACTAGGTCATGGGCTGAAGCTTTGTCAGTTACAACCTGTTTTAGGTTTGTCTGCCCTCTCACACTGCTGTCTTCTCATTTTCCTGTCGAAAGCACCAGTCATGTTTTCGTGGCTTTGGTAACCTACTTTGACTTTCTGTACCATGGTGATGGCCCTTGGCTAATTTAAAAAATTGCAAATTTTTTTTTGCTTTAGCATATTTAAAGACCTTTAAGTATGAAACTATGGACTAAGTTGGAAAGTACGTTAAAATGGTATAATGTGGAGGGTTGGTTTAGCTGCTAGATGTCACTTGAGTGCAGGTCAGGTGCGGGTTTGAGCCTGGGTCAAGTGCTGCTGAAGGTGGGTGGGATTGGTCACCCATGCCTCTCTTGGCGAAAGTGACCCCCTGCTGGCCTCCTGGTGAGCCTGTGGGGTAGTGCTGCTGCTGCTGCTGGTGGGGGAGGAGGGGTGTTTTTCCTTTTATTGCCCCGGTCTTCCAGTTCGGGCTGTGTCACCCGCGTTTTGGCTGGAGGGAGTCTGTGCGTTCACCTTCATGCCTGTGTGTGTGAGGTCCCGCGGCTTATAGTTCTGGGCCAAGGCCCAAAAACACGACTTGTTGTTCCAAAATGGGGTGGGTATAACAGAAATAACACATTCTTAATTTATTGAGGGGGGGGGGGGGGTGGACTGCAGACAGTGCGCCGGAGTCAGAATCTCCGGGATGCCTCCGGATGGGAATATGGGAATGCTGCAGTTTCCCGGAGCTTGTTTTGTGCCCAGGACCCATTCTGTTCTGCGTGAAGAACTCGTTAAACTTGAAAGCTCGAGGATCGGGGCGGCGACCAACGAGTCTCGGCGTGCCGGAAATCGAAGTCCATAGGCATGGAATCCTAAGGCAGGCCAAATGCTCATATCCTGGTCTGTCTGAACTTGATTGTGACATCGGGAGCGGTCCCTCTGCACGCCTTTCTGAGCCCGATCCTGATGCTATTTTAGCTCTGACCCTCTGCATGTGGGAGGAAGGAGTCTGAAGGCTGGACTGGCTCTGCGTGATTTTTGCTCCCTTTTGTTGAAATTCCGAATGATCGCTGTGGTGCTCCAGCGAGGAGAGAGGAGATGCAGGGTCTCCGGCTGCAGGTGGGTGGGATGACCACAGGCTGCTTTGAGAGCTCCAGTCTTGGCTGTCCTGCACACCGTCCCGCCAAGAGAAGCTCACAGTACTGCATTTCTCCAGCCTTCTCGCCTTTCCTCCTTTTGTGTCCCAGAGTCCATGTTCTCCGTCGTTCTCTCTCTTCTGCTGAGGTGGTATCATAGAGGTTTGGACAATGGTTTGTTGCTGCAAAAATTGCTCTAAAGACTTGGAAGAAAAAAAACTGAATGTTGAAAGGAGAGGAAGTGTAATGTGTGAAGTTTACCGTTGTGCATATTTCCTCTCCAGCGTTGCTCAGTTAGTCTTTGGTTTTCCTATCAGATGTGCTGGGGTCTGTCATATTAATCGTCCCCTTGCTGTTAGATGCATTCAATAGCAGTTCTGTTTAAATAGCTTTTGATAACTTTGATTTGTTAAAAGCTGCTACTTTGTGAAAGTATTTTTTCAGGTTATAGTTGAATATATTTCAATATGAGAAATGGGTAAAAAATGTAATGGTTACTTACGGCAACAGCGCCTTGTTACTCAACACTTCCATTGATGGGACATAATTTGGTATCCATGAGTTATTAATGTACTCATTATTGGACTGATGTAAAGCAGTAAGTGAAAACATTATTTAAATTTCAACTTGTTCTATTGACTATTTTACTTTCAGGTTTTTTAAGAATTTCCTTTTAATCCCCCTTCCTGGGTCAGTCATTTAAAAACAAATCAAGAGGTCAAGCCTTTAAGTTCTGAAATGCATTGAGGCCCAGCTCTGCCTTCTTGGGTCTTTGGCAAGCTGTTGCAGACTGAAGAAGCCTGCAGGAGAGAGAGTCCAGTTGGTGACTGGAAGCTATAGAGTGTTGTATAGAGAGGAGGTCATAACCGGCAGGAGGGCTGTCTGCTTCCTCTCCAGATCATTGAGCTGACGCGCCCCCTGGACTCCTGGCTCGAGCACGTGGACTTTCGCACCCTCTTCAGCTGCCTGAAGGACGAGGAGCTGCTCCAGGTCTTCGCTTCCACGGTGCTGGAGAGGAGGATCGTCTTCATCGCTGAGGAGCTGAGGTAACGACCCAGCCCTGTTCTCGCCCGCAGAGACTTCCTGTCCTCCTCCTCCCAGCAGCTGTGCGGGGTGACCTTTCATCTGTCACTCAGATGCTTATTTCATAACATCTTATTTCAATAGGTGGTACTACATGGAACCAGCAACCTCTTAAAGAAAAAATCAATACAAAATGGAATGATTGGGGCCCCCTCCATATTTTGTCACCCAAAACTGATTTAATTCTCTGAAGCCTGCTGATGCCTGGCTTCAGCCTCCACTTTGGAAGCCCTTGATTGTTTTAGTTTTGGCCGGTCTGCACTTGTAAAAGGCAAACCATTGTCCTTCAGACCCAGACGTTAAAGTAACATTGATTACAGTGAGTAGATGAAGTGAAGGTCATTGCCTGTCCCAGTCCTGGGTGACATCTGGAGTGTTTAATAAGACTGGCACTACTGTTAGATTTGCCCTGGCAGCCTCGGTCGTCCTAAAGCATGTCGCCCCCAGAGGCTTCTTGGGATGGAGGAGTGAGAAGCTGTCTTTTCCCCACGAGGACTTGGCCATAGCGCTCCTCTGGATGTCTGGCTCTCTCCCGACAGCACGCTCTCTCAGTGTCTCCACGCGGTGGCGGCCCTGCTCTATCCCTTCACGTGGCAGCACACCTTCATCTCCATCGTGCCCGAGATCCTCATCGACGTGACCATGGCGCCCACCCCCTACCTGCTGGGCGTGCAGAAGCGCCTGCTGGACCAGATTATGGACCAGAGTGATGTGAGTATCGCCAGCGACGCGAGGAGGACTGAAGCACGGAGCTGCTCCCTCTGCCAGTCTGATCCGCCTTATTTTATCCCATCGCCACGAGAGCAGGAGAAGAGCAGTATCCCTTCCCTTTGGCGTCAGCAGATTTCTCTGTCAGCACTGAACGATAACAATCACGTTTAGGGAACTGTGCACTTCATGAGGAGGAAGTAATGAGGCCAGTGTTTTTTTAACTCTAGCTTTTGAAATTAGCAAGCTGTTGCCAACATTTGTATTGCATTATAGTGCATTGTGAGCAATACCATTTGGTACACCTGCACATGGGACCATTGCAGCGTGGGGAAATTCAATATTTTAATATTGTTCTTTATTTTCTAGTTGCTCATAGTGGATTTGTCCGAAGGAACCTCCAAAAAGTTCATCATGACCGTAAGTATTGTCCGTTTCGTTTTGTCTTTTTTTTTTGTGATAACTGTTGGGCAGCAATTTACTTACTAAAGAGGAAAGTGTGTGTTTGTTGGGGGGGGAGGAATCGTGAAAGCTACCGAAAAGATTTCATCCCACAGTTAAAACTGAAACAAATCTTTTCTCTTCTGTTCTCTTTCTCCTATTTTTTAACACTCGCTCACCTAGATCGGAGATGAGAAGAATATTCTGCCACCAAAATTGCAAGAGGAGATCCTTCAGGCGCTCAGCATGAGGAAGGAGAATTCGAGTGAGTAGATGTTCCTGTTCCCCCTCTTTTTTCCCCATCAGGTTCTCTACTTAAACAAGAGGTCCAGTATGTCGGTCAAGTCCAGGAGTTCTCGGGGGGGGGGGGGTCCTTGAGTGCAGAAAACCAGCTTTTCTTCAGGGCCTCGACCAGTGCAACCCCAGGAATAGTAGTAGAACCAATCCAGTAATATTCCCTGAGGTTCATGTTTTAATATTTCCTGCCCTGTTTAAAAAGGTCAAAGTTCACTGCGGATAATTGTTTATGGTGCTGGTGGAAGCTCTTGATGAAGCTCCGATTTTAGAGTCCTCCCCCATCTACCTACACACGGCTCACAGGCCACATCTTGAGAAAGCATTGCTGCACGTTTCGTGGTTTCGATAGAACTTCTGCTTGAGAGTGTGGGGTTTTCACATGCTGGGCTCCAGCCCCTCTGTGCTGTTGGGGAGGAGAGGAAGCTGACCCTGAGCTGTTGACGTGCAGGCTGCAGGTTCGAAAGAGTTTGGTTTGGTGGGAATGCTGTATACCCCAGACTGAAGCGCTCAGGGGGAAAAAACAATGTGGTCGCAGTGCAGCGGCTTATGTTTTTGCAGGTCGGATTTTAAAAGTTGCACAAAGGCCTGCGAGAGAGGCTGCTGTGCATGATGTGCACGCCTCCTGATATCCCTTGTTCTGTAGCTGGTCCGTCTGCAAAGTGAAACGCTGCTTGTTTGGTACGAGACGCACAAGCGTGGGCTTGCTGAAGTCGCCGCCGCCAAGTTGGTTTTTTTCTGCGCAGCCCCGGAGGAGCTCAACCGGCTCGTGTCGGACGCCTTCCTGCCTTTCTTCGTGAAGACGGTGGGACACTTTGCCTCCTACGTGAAGCGGAACGGCAACGGCCAGCCGGGCGTCTTCCAGAAAAGGAACTTCTACAAGGCCATTGAGTCCAAGAGCACCCGCAAGTTCGTCAAGAGATTCATCCAGACCCAGATGTTCGACCTCTTCATCCAGGATGTGGAGCAGCAACAGGCCTCTCAGGATGGTAAGAGTCCGACTGCTCTGCCCCCAACTCTCCTTCCCTCGCTCTCTTCTCCACTCTGGGTTCAAGCGAGGCGCTCTGCGGATCAACTAGCCACAAAAGACTCTTTAATTGGGTGGGTATTATTAAAGGTGAGTGAAAGATGCGGAGCACTGAAAGCATTTTGCTAATTGGAAAGACCAGGACCAGATGTCTCAGCATCGGCCTCGCAATAAAATGTAACACAGCTGGAAAGAGTTCAGCAAAAGCAACTGTTGTTCCCCTGCAGAGAAAGAAACCTCCCTGCATGATTAGAATGAAAAAAGCAGCACATGATGGAAAGTGTATAGGGCAACAGGAAGAGGTTTGAGTAGACTAGGAAGGAATTTACATCTTAATAGATCCGGTTGAAAAATTGGTATCTACTAGATAGTTTCTTACACTAATTTAGTGGTGCTAGGAAGCTGTAAAAAGTGAAAGGCCAGCCGTTGTGCTAAAGTTTTAGCATGGGACTACTTTCAAAACTGAACAAAATTTAAAAGCTCGTGTCTTCTCTGAATGTGGAAATGGCAACCCCCCAAACCAAAAACTCTTCTCTTTTTTTTTATAGGATTTTTTCAGAAAAAGATTGCGGAATACCAAGAGAAGAAGAAGAAGGAAAAATCAAGGAAACAATAGAAGGGACATGTTTGCTTCTGTCTCTGGCACATTGTACATAATCTAGGGTGGGAGGCAGTGGTTTTGGGGCACAGATGTTTACATCCTTAATAAAGTAATATAGATATTTTTTTGTAATTAGTTAGCCATGAGAGTAAATAATTTTATGTTCTTTAATTCCATTCCTGTTAATTTTAAGCCTTTTGTAGAGTATGGAGTAATGTTTGTCCCATTACAAGCTAAGTGCACATTTCTCTTGGCCTACTCAGGAAAGGGGCTCACTCTGTTTCATGCTGTCATAATGCCTATGCTGCTATTTTGAGTGACTCTGCCAAAAAAAAAACTGGGTTCTAATTGGCCACAACGCACTGTCTTGTCCTGTAGTTATCGGGGTTATTTTAAGTGGGGGTACGCACCAGACCTGTGTGTTCTTGACTGAAGGAAATGTGGTGAGGGGCGGCTGTACTAGACACTTCAGTCTATGAATGTGAGCCATCGTACCCTAATGAAATGGGCCAAATAGTAATAAATGCTTTTTGAACAATTGTTTTTGGCCTGGTTGATTTAAAAGCATCCAGGCTACTGGAAAGCTGCCCAGAACTCATGGGACAATTGGGAATTCTTTTCTTAAACGCCCTTCTTTCCTTCCATGTTTAAAGTTTGGGGACATGGCCTTTCTTCGGGTGTACCACTGCATTCAGAGCCTCGACTCTTGACTTCAACAGACAGACGTGTGGAATGAGGTGATCCAGAACCTGTGAGAAGTATCTGCCTTCGCAATTTGGCCACCGCGTTGCTACAATGGGTTACCATGGGGATTGTTGTAGTTTTTTTTTTTATAGAAATAATTCGTGAAGAATACTTTGTTGCAGTAAGACTCCGTTACAAGCAGAGAAAAAGGTCATTTCATTTATTTCTAAACTGTTTACGGACAGGGAGAGTTTAGGGCATGTCAATGTCTTCGCAAAGGAACGGCAGCCTTGGGGCTTCCCTGCGACTGCCTGTTCGGATTCCATCACCTGGGCGGGACCCCAGAGCGCCGGCTGTCTGGTCAAGTTCCTCACCGTAGCCCCGCTGGGCTTGTGCTTGATGCGCCACAGTCTGGACCCGAGCTGCAGGGCCGGACTGGCCACTGGGGCAGGGGGGGCGGGCGTCCCGGCGCGAGCAGGAGAGGGTGGGGAAATCGCAGGATCAGGGTTCACTTTCGCAGCTGTAGGAAGAGGCATTCCAGCATGTGAAGGGAGAAGTGGAAGGTGGCGACGCAGGCGGCGTGAAGGGGGCTGGCGTAGGGCGGGGTGGGCGCTCTCTGCTTCTGGGGTGCCTCTGGTGGAGAGCCTGTGGCATCGAGAAACCAGATCTGTGGCCACACAACCGTTGTCTGCCATCTACGCCTGAGATACCCACCGTCGGGTTGAAAAGATAAGGTGGTGTGGCTTTGGTAAACTCTGAGAATAGGTCATACTAGAGCTGAAACGGCTCCCCACCCCACCTCCTTCCCCAAAATGGCGAGCGTGATCATGCGGAGACTAACGCTGGCAAATTCACCATTCCGGAAAGTTTTGCCACCACGTGCTTGTAATGTTGCAGTATTTTTGCACGTCTAAACGAAGTAGAAGAGAAAGAAGGATGTTTTCTTCCTTTCTCAAGGTAAGGAATTGGGGGGAGCGGGAAGATATTAGAGGTGCGACATGTCGGATAATGGCTGCAGCTCGTTAAGCAAACCCATAGTGCATGCTCTGAGCTGACCTGGCAGGGTGCTCTTAACCCAGTGAGCGAGAGTGCTTTGTGCTGCAGTAGGTTGGGATACTATAGATGAATTGATAAGATGCAAATGGCCAGGATTGAACTCTGTGTTTTGGTTTATTTAGCCCGCTGAAACCTGGCTCTTCCTGCCCACAACCTCTGTACAAATGACTTCTCCGGAGTGAGGTTACGAGCTGTGTTCCTGCAGGTTCCATAGCCAGAACTTCCACCATTCCCATTCAGCTTCCTTGCCAATACCTGAAGGGTCAACTGGGTCTCCTCCACCGTCTGCTGCTGCACTGAGAGCAGTGTGGCACGGGTCAGGGCTCTGGACTTACAACGGGAAGATTGTGGGTTTAAATCGCAGGTGCGACACTGCTGTTGTACCCTTCGCCAATTGCTCCACTAAGCGACCCAACTCTGTGGATGCACGCAAATGGCAATGGCTTAAATAATAAAAAATAAAAGCATCAGACATGTTTACTGATACTTGTTGCAGCCCCGCCTCCTCCCAATTTGATTTTGGGAACTTGTGGAAACGTCGGGAATTTGATAAGCAGATATTACTCTTGTCAAGGATGCCAGCTGGCCCAGGATCAACTGGATTCCGAGACAGCCCGGGACTTGTATGCTTCCTCGAAGGGAACGCCTAAACGGACCACAATTTACTTGTTCGTTTTTGTCAACGAAAGGTTTCGCCAAGCAGATGACCTAGTGGGGTGACTGAATTATTTGCAAAGGCTATGTGTAAGTTAAGGCAATGTACTAATTAACAGGAGGGCAATTCACAAAATGGACAAGGCAAATTAATAAACAGTGCAAACAGAACACATTCTTAAATGTATTGCAGGCAGGCAGTGTCTTTATTATTTATGTCCTGATATAGCCTCATTAATTAAGCAAATGTTTCAATTTACTTTATACTTAAATCATAGCACTTTGTTTATATTGTGAGGCACAAAGGAAATCTCACCGTGTCTTTAAGTTGATCCGACTGTAGTTGGGAAGCCTAGGTTATATCTATTAGTAACGGGTAATGCGTTTAGTCCATGATGAAAAGAAAAGAGGAAACAACTTTTCGGCTGTGGAGCCTTCTTCAGGTATGAGCTTTTATATCTTTTATACAGTATCTATTAGTACCGCATTCGGAAATGGGTCACTTGCCTGACGTTAGCGCCCCCTATAATCTAATGAGCGTGTCTTTCTTCTATTATGTAAAATACTTCCACCTAACGCAATCACCGTCTAATTAACAAGGTGTAACTGGATAGATTTATATCTGCTGTGCTGTAGGGTATCTTATTGTAGTTTCAAACAGCATGAGCTGATAACGTGATCGTTGTAGGTCGCACGGAATGCAAGTTCTTTAATCCCTGCGTGCTTGTTACCCGGGTTTGTAGGGGATCTGCGCTTGAAACGTAACTCTCGTTTTACGGATTTGCTTTCTGTGGAGCGCTGTGCAAGCAACGTTACGAACACCCGCACTGACGTGAAGAGCGATAATGGGGAAAAAACGTAGGTGCCTTTTCTTTGAAGAAGGGAGCTGGAGCAGCTGGAGGCTCTGTGGTACAGCCTTTGCGGTTTTCCTGTTTGTGAAACTTTGCACACAAAAAAAACTAACCGCCTCATCTGCAGAGCAGCCCCTCTGTACGGGCTCATGGATCAGCAGCGCCCTGATGTGGAATGGTGTTCGAGCGCCCTTTTACAAGCAGACTTCCAGACATCTAGGGCACGGCTCTGTAAACAATCGTTTTCAGCTCTTAAAGGGACACACGGGATTTGCAATTCGATGTCAACGCTGTTATCAATTTCTGAGTGTCAGCACTGCCCTCGTTCAGGTGTGCTGCCTGAAATGTGTCCAATTCCAGAGGGGGAAAAAAAACATACTGTGGGCGTGTCTGACAACGTCACTCGAACCCGGCTGTATAATCAGTTGCCAAAACTAGTAAGAGTTGTTTACTCACAAAAAACTGCATGTAAATTTAGGAGAAGCTGTATAAAGTTGTGTCCCCCTATAGCTGTCTAAAACTACCTTTAAAGACGGGTAATTTTTCATCCTCGGGACTAGAAACCAGTTAAAAGTCTAAATAACCAAGCAGATTAAGTCAATTAGGACTGGCACTCGCATTTAAACAGCAGGGTTCCACCAGGGCCAGGGTTGGGAAAACACAGATCTAGGCAGTAACTCCCCATCCAGGTCCTGCAAGTTCTCATTCCAGGTGAATTTTGTTACCCACCAAACTCTCATGTGGAACCTTCTGTCAGCAGTTAACAAGGGTTTCACAACTCTCTCAAATCCTCTGTCCCCAATGCTGTGAACACACAGGCCACCGGTAATCAGTGAGAACTGTTCAGAAAGCTGCAGGAGAGAACCTTTTAACCTAAACTGAAACAGTTTTGCTTATTATAGTTATTAGAAATTAAATAAATGGGGAGATTGTCATTAGATAACTGTGTTCTGAGTGAAGTTAACTAGTTAAAAATCATTTGGTTGAAAAAGCTTTATTGAGAAGAGCTCAGCTGGAATGAAAAGAAGAGACAGGAGTAGCCCAGGACTAGGACGGGAAAACAGATTTAGATCTCACTGGAGCTTGTGATGAGTTTAGCCAGTAGTCACTAATCCTAATCCTAATCCTGGATGGCCAGTGTCTGAGAGGTACTCATTCCAGTCTACCTCCTTGCCTTCATCAGAACAGCTTCTCTCGGCTCCTCCGGTGGTGGTGTTTTGAAGAAATCTAGAAAACCGACAGACACAGCAGCGCCGCCCCCCCCAGGATCAGGCTTGGAGTATCTGATCACCGGATCTGAAATCCCTTTCCTTGGTGTTCTTGCAGTATTATTATCAAAAGTGGTGGGAGTGTCTGCAGTGCATGTGTGGTAGTCCCTTAAAGGAGACACAGCAAAACGTTTAAAGCGATCCAGTAACAATGGTCAATAGACCTCTATAAACAAGTAGGACCCTTCACTCTAATTGAAATGCTTTGTAAATTTTTTGTAACTCTACATCCAGGAATAGCATGCAATCAGTGTATGAATACAGCTTTAGAGCCATAGAATTTACTGTTGCCTCCGAAGTGAAAGAAAAGAAGGTGAAATGTGGGTTCAGCAATTTCAAGGCACTCTTTTTTTTGCTTTTTTTATTTCCTAAAACTTTACCTCCACTTAATTTGGTGCCAGTGGTCTGTTGAGATCGCAGTGTGCACTTGTCCTGCTGTGCCCAGACCTGGGCTATGAGCCTCTCTGGCAGACGTGAAAGGGCACACTGTGATAAGAGTCGGCACCGCTTGAATACAAATGTCATGTTTTATTGGAAATAGTGGCTTTTCCATGTAATCACCTGATTTAAAAATGTCAATGTAAATCGCCGATTTACAAACACAGTATGATAATGGACATTTGGGTTAATGCAAATGTTATCAAAAGGGTGCTGTTAAAAAAAGACAGGTAACATAATATCTTTTTAAAGTCCAGAGGCTCCCTGTGTATCATATTTCCTGCAGTTAGTAAAACAATGAGCTCTACAGTATTTTAAAAAAGAAAACTGCTCGTTGTAAGAAAATGATCTTAACCTCAGCTTTGTGACAGTAAATGACTGACGTTTTATACTGGACAGCTTTGAGCAGGGAGGGGAAGAACAAGGGACAGTGCACAAAGATATTTACATTTACCAAATTACTTGTGCTCCCCCTTCAACAACTCCTTTACGTGTTACACAAATATATCCCCGTGGTCTAACACACTGCATTCTTAGTTGTAAGTGAACACCTCAAAACAATTCATTTTTCATCTGCTCTCAGACATCCAAATACTGGAAATACCAGTTTCTAAAAAATGCTACTGATTTAAAAAAACATTAATGGGCACATAGTATTGCACCGAGTCAATCATATGCATGTCTTAAACAGATGGGTTAAAGAAACACAACGTAGTCCTGAAAAGTGAAAACACGGGGATCTGATAACTTTTATAAGTGCTTAAAGTCAACCCAGAGGACAACCTCAGGACCAGCAGTGCTACAGGTTCCTAAGGAAGACAGAAGAAAAGGATGTTCATTCAGGACAGGAAACACTTCATTACACACAGGGTGTGGGTATCTGGGACAAGCCACTCCCCTGGGATCCTTAAATCTGAGGTCCTGGGACTAATGGTTTAGTAGGAATTAAATGTGCATGATGGGAATTTTTCCTTTTTCTAATATTGACAAAAGGAATTCAGCCACTGCATTAACCAATTCAACTCCTCTAAAAAACACCCCCCATTGTTCTTCAAGAACAAATCTCTCCCAAATTCTGTAACTATCGCAGTTAATACTCCTGTTTAAATTCAAATCACAAATTATTCCCACCCAATGTGGAGTACCTGACCCTGTGTGGTTTCTCCCATCTCTGCATGCAGTCCCAAGCCCTGTACCTGCACACTGCACGCAGGGGAGAATGGGGTGGGAAGACTGCTCCAGGCCCCCACCGTCGAGACACCTGTCCTTTAACCTGTCATTGGAGGTTCAGTGCCAATCCCGGGGCCCGGCTCACCCCTCACTGACAGCACTGCACGCGTCACTGTGCCACTCGGGGCCCTGACCCACTCATCTACCCCACCCCCCCACGCCGCTCGTCCGACTGTGCGCCACCACCCGGGGCCCCCCTGTCACTATCGAGGCGCACTGACCCCGGCTCGAACCTGTAACCAGCTCCCTGGTAAGCTTCTTTACAGGCTCGGCTACTCGGGAGTCCCTGCGGACAATTATACTTTGAGATCATTTTTAACCCCCCCCACCCTCCAGCTGCTGACCGGACGTGCTTGGAGCAGCAGCAGCCTCTCGGGCACAGTCCTGCTCAGGACTCTGTCAATTCCACACGCACACGCCGGCGGGGGTAACGGAACCAAGGCACACGACTGCAGGCCGTACGAATAGAAGGATGAAGGTTTACGAAAGGCGAGCTGCCAGCCCTACCGCAAACCTACCTCCAGCTCCTGAATGCAGGAACTTAACTCCCTGCTGCGGTAAAACTGGAGAAGTGACACAAAGAGAAACAGAACTGAGGACTTTAACAGATAAGGCCTCATTGCGTTCGAGCCCTTTTTTTCAGTCAGTTTAAATAAATGTTTGCAGAATCCTGCCAGACACTTGATGTCCCCCAGGTAGTTATTTTCTGTTATTTACAGGGGTGATGAAGTCCTGGCTGACCACACTACAAGCTCACGGGCTCAACGACTCAAGCCCACCCAAAATCCTTGGGGACCCCTGGTGCCTGCTGGCGTCTGACATAGTCCAGATTTTGCCACTTCAAGCTGGGACATGGGGTTATTGGCTGGGGCTCCAAAGCAGCATCTTTACTGGCTGAGCCTGTTTGCGGTGCCTCTGGTTAAAGTGTTTTTTTTAAACACTGAGCATCTTTTCTCTCTCTGCGGTTACAGTCAGTTGTAGCAACATGGCAAGGATGCAGCTGGGGATTGGAACAGAACAGGAAGGTTTTAAAAACAAACAAAGGCTAATAAGAGTCACGAGAGAGAGGGAGAAAAAGGGTTTCAGGTCCATCATGGGGCCCAGTCTTGCAGCAGGTGTGCAGCAAAGGATCATGGGAGGCCTCCTTGGTCTGCGCAGGGGGCACCTGGCTTTCGGGAGGACCCCCAAGACAGTCGTCGTTAACTGTCGGCATGGTCACAGGCCCGTGCGAGGAGGGGGGACCGCTCGCCCCGGTGCACGTGCACGTTGACGTTGTAGTGCGTCGTGTCGTGGAGGTGGCTGCTCTGCAAAATGGCCTCGGCACGAAGCTTGATTTTCTGGACGGGGAAACGGAAACAGCAAAGCCAAGCAGGGCTCCGGTCATCATCGGCAACTGATTCGTCTTTTATAATGTTTTCTTTTAGAATTTTCCTAATTCCTTACACCTACAGTATATTGCACTCAAAGTGCTTTACAGGTAATGGGGACTCCCCTCCACCACCACCAGTGTGCAGCATCCACCTGGACGATGTGACGGCAGCCATAGTGCGCCAGAACGCTCACCACACACCAGTTAACAGTGGGGACGAGAACAGAGTGATGAAGCCAGTTCATAGATGGGGATTATTAGGAGGCCGTGACTGGTAAAGACCAATGGGAAATTTGGCCAGGGTTGCCAGGGTAATACCCCTACTCTTTTCGAGAAGCGCCCTGGGATTTTTAATGACCACAGAGAGTCAGGACCTCGGTTTTACATCTCATCCAAAGGACGGCGTCTTTTTACAGTATAGTGTCCCCGTCACTATACTGGGGCATTAGGATCCACACAGACTGCAGGGTGAGCGCCCCCTGCTGGCCCCACTAACACCTCTTCCAGCAGCAACCTTAGTTTTCCCAGGAGTCTCCCATCCAGGTACTGACCAGGCTCACATCTGCTTGGCTTCAGTGGGCTGCCAGTTGTGAGTTGCAGGTAACGGTAGACTGACTGATGTCTAGAGATCAGCCACTCGATAATTAGAGCCCTCCCGTGTAAAACACGCTACTGTCAGCATTTGCATTTGGGAGATATTTCTTTTCAGTGTGGCGGCAAAGAAATCGTGTCAACACACCTTCTTCCTGGAGACCTAAATCAGACTATCATGCACTGCACGAAGCAAGCTAATTAAGGTGACGTGGATGCCCTCTGACAATGTGGCTTAAGAGATCAGTTACTACTCTTTATTTCATACGCGGGATGTTCTATTCAGCGAAGGCTTAGGAAATTGACCTACTTTAAATCAGGATCACAGTGGAGGTGGCCCACAGCATCCAGGATATGGAGAGCTTACCTGGAAATCGCGAATGTAGGTGAGGAAGAAGCTGACGAAGGCGAAGGCCAGAGACCACTCCGAAATAGTGCTGACAATGTGAGGTGTGTAGCCCTGCAGACACAGGAACAGCACCTCGGTCAGTGAGAGCAAGCACAGGGCTGCATTCTGTATTACCTCTCCAACAAACACAGAACACAAGCCTGAGAAATACCGCCTTATTGCCATTTCCAGGGTGGCGACTAGCGAAAACCACTATTCTAATTTTCTGAATCCTGTAGGTATGGTTCCCTCACTGGAAGATAAATTGGGAAACAGCAAGAGGATGTTCTGCAAGGCCCAGCTGCAGCCCAGCCCATTCTCCTAAGCAGGCCTGCTCAGCTGAGGAGGCGATGAGTTAATGCGTGTGGCGCCTGCTCTACTGAACTGCTTGACTCGTTCAACTAGTTTTCAGCCATGTGTCGCCTATTCTTTTGACCTTGGGGGATGGGAGAGTTTCTAATGTTTTGTTCAGCGGGTGTTCAAAGAAAACTCTGGCCCGGCAGGCATGATCGAAGCAGAGCTGGAGGCTTCATTTCCCAGCATGCTCACCGTTTCCCCAGGGGTCCAGTGCAGCTTCTTGGCCACATCAATCCCCGGCAGGCTGCTGTACATGATGACCGAGGACACGAACACTGCAGAGGGGGTTAAGGGCAACTCAGCACAGCAGCTCTTGCTAAACTTTCTCACCAGAGACAAAACCCACCGTTATTTCTACATCCGTTTCTCAACGGGTGAAGAATCAAACCAAAGTCAAAAGTGTTTACCTAATTTATAATAAACTAGAACTGTTATGATGGAATCAGTCATATCTGCATATATAAACTTATAAAATAACTGATTTATGGTAGCATTAGCTGATATATTATTCTTTTTTACAGAGCATTTTTTTTACACTTTATCAATGGCATTACTGTCCCCATTAAATAAATGCAGATTTCCTGCCTGTTATGGAACACTGTTAAAGACAAGTTTCTAATACAATCGAGGGACACCCAGGACACACACAGGCATCCCCAAAACAAAATTAAACTTTCTACCTCCAGAACAGTAACACATAAACGCAACATCCACACACAATCGATCTGCTCTGAGGATGTCCACAGCTGATCTGTTGACCTGTGCTTCTGCTTTTAAAACAGGCTTAAAATAAAACTGACTTATCATTCCTGTGTAGTTCAAATGGAGTTTCTATTTAAAACTGGGGTTTGTGAAAAGGAACCCTTCCTCAAATCAACCTACCAGCAAGCACCTTGAGATCTTTCTCACATTTTTAAATGGCTGAAAGCCAGAGAAGGTGCTCTGAGCAGTGCAGAACTTCTAAAACTGCCTCTGTGCTGTCTGATGAAGTATACAAAGACATGCAGTATATCACACAGCTGCAGCTGTGTACTCTGAAACACAAGATAAGATGGGAAGTGCTACAAACACTGACTGAAAGATACTATTCATAGAACAACTGCCTCCAATCCCAATATTCTGAAGCCAAATTAGGCTGAAGATTCAGCTATTCTTTAGTACGCAAAGGAACCAGTAATAGGTTTATTCCATGCTGCAAAAAAGAAGAGAGAAAACACAACGTTTCGGCTGTGGAGTCTTTTTCAGGTGTGAAGAAGGCTCCATGGTCAAAGCGTTGGGTTTTCTCTCTTCTTTTTTTCAGCATGGAATAAACGTATTACTTGCTCCTTTGCAGCCTACGTGTGCTGACGCAGCTACCCACCTGAACTATTCTTTAGTACTGTTGAGAAAAATAACACATTCAGCCAAAATCCAGATTATGTACCCATGGTACCCTGGTACACTAAAATAAAATGCCTGCTTACAGAGACAATAACGCTGTATATTAAACAATACACAACACCCAGCACACAGTGGAGCAGTCACAAATATCTAAATGTGGTTAATCAGCCTTATAGAGGGCTTGGCAGAGACAATCCTGAATGAGTCTATGTTACTGAAGTGTTGTGTGAAAAACTGAAAATATCCCTTTGTGTTCTAGGATAACGCAGGACTCTGAAAATATACACAAAGGCCTAGACCTAGAAACCCCAACTGGACTGATAAAGGTGTTATTACTAAGGAATAAGACAGAAACCGTGAATATACTTAAATAAGATAAGTCTTCAAGGTCTGTTCCTTCATCCCCATCACATGACCCGTCACATGACCTAATATATCCGTCTTGTGGTTGCTCAACATGTCTTCCTAAATACTGCAGCTCTTGCGCATTCCACTTAAACTATGTCAACACCACACACATGCAGTCCAGAGATTTCATGACCTCACACCTGAATGCTTTCCACAGCTCACCATCATGCTTTAACTCCTGCTTAGTCAGGCGAGAGATGGGTTCAGCTGCAGATGCCATATTGATCTGTTCAGAAATCCTCCATACCACTTGAGTCATTGTGAGCATCACAACTGGAGCATTTTACACACCATTTAAACACCGCTGAAAGGATACTGCACACGATGCTGACTCCGCACCAGACACCCACGAGCAGCCGGATCCAGAAGGTTTCCTTGCCATTTATGTGGGGCTGCATCATGTAGGACAAGACGGTCTGGCACAGGATGTAAATGGTTCCAATCCCAAAGGTCAGCACAGCTCCCACCCAGTGCATGGAGATCACACTGGTTTTCTGCAGGGTGGAGAGCACACCTTCAGAGAAACCCGACACCAGGTCCCTCAGACCCCCTTGTCTCTTTCCACTCCTTCAATTCTGGCACCCCCCTTTCAAAAAACACGCTCACTTATTGGTCAGTTTTTTCACCATTCACGTTTTCCAACCGGCTCAAGGTCGCAGTACACTATACTTAACTATACTGCAACTCAGATTCAGAAAAAATGCTCTCTGTGTTTTATTTTCTTACTCCCTTTAAGAGATAATCAACAGTCTTCATGAGATCCCAATTACTGAAAATCATTAATCGCCGGTTGGGGGGTGGGGGGGTTCAGGATGCTTTCCTTACTATCATTATTAAAAATGATGTTAAACAGTGAACTTCTGATTATTTTTCTGAACGGCCTTATGTTATGCACAGGGGATGTCATGTGATTAAATGTGAACACTGGTCCATTCAATCAATCAGCCCAGCTGAATGAAAATTAAAGTTCTTGACAGAGCTGATACAGCTGCGATAAAACACCAGGCACAAAAGGCAACAATATCAAGAGACACTCTGAATTAACAGCCACAGTCCCAAAGAACCACATGGGCTTCCTGTCCCTGATTGCATCAATGAGTTGCTGCTTTAAGAGGAGTTAACGTGCTTTTCAGATTTCTTCAACAAGAAGCAAAGATCTCGAAATCCCCTGGAAAATGATAATTTGTCCGTACCGTCTTTACTGCAGCCTCACCTGGAAGTTGGCCACAATGCACATGCCGAAGGAGCTGATGATACCCAGCGCCAGGCCTGCCTTGTTCCACTTGTGGACACGAACCTCATTCCTGTTCAGCTCCTCCACCTGTTTGTACCTCACGTACATAGTGGCCACGCCTGGGAGGACAGCAGCAGGGGAGTTAGCGCAGTTAGATTCCTGGTACTTTTATGTCTTGATTCCCTTGCTACTGTACGTCAGTACTGCTCTCTGCCACTATTGTGTGCCATGCCTTGGAAAATCATTTTTTGGGGAAAAATAAATCAAATGTATTATGCTGCTCATCATAAGCTCTACAACAGAAACTCAAAATGCTGAAAGCAGCAAAAAGTACTTTAGTGGTATAGTTTTCATCTGTAAGTTATGTACAAAACACAAACAAATATCCCACTGGGCATCATTAGCAGTATTTAAAGTACTGTATGCAGTACATCTTGATGCTGTTGTAAAGGATATTAGTCAGAATGTGTCTAGGACTTGAAATCAGTGCTCTCTCAGTCATCATAATGTCAAATGAAAGGGCTGAGGTGTTTTCACAACTAGTCTTAAGTGTCAATTGACTTTATAATAGTATTATAAAGTCAGCGTAGTTTTAGCATTTATAATTGAGGAACAGAACTGGGTCTGTTCTGCCTTAATGGCAGAATTAAGGGGATGTTGTGTAATTGAAAAAACAAACGTGAAGACAGAGTCCTGTTTCATATGATGTTCCAGTCTTCAGAGGCAAAGAGATATTTATTACATAAATGCAATGGTATAACAGCTGATATTTAGTCAAAATACAAGACAATTATAAATGAACAGTACCTAAAAAAGATGAAATGTTGAGCATGAGCCCAAAGACGCATCTCTCCGGAACGACAGTTCCCGTATCACTGGGGGGAAACACAATGGTCAGTCATGAGCACACACTGGGAGCTCTCCAGCTCTGACGGAGGCAGATGCTACACCATCACCCTAAACAGCTGAAAGCCAAGCTCGCTTTCTTCCTTGACAACAGTGAACATTCCAGAAAGCCTGTTAGCTGTTGCCCAATGCTGTGGTTAGTTGCCTCATTGCTCAAATACATGTGATTTGCCCAGAATTTCCCTTAAGCCTGGAATTCAAGGCATTCGGATTTGATGCTTCTTTTAGTTTCAGGCTTTATCAGCACTGGAAATTTTTAAGCCGTCTGTTCAAGTAAGGCTCAAGCACTGTGGGGAGCACAAAAAGGAACTGATCTTGCATCAGCAGTACAGACCAAGGGGTTACGATGAACACATATGTTGGAAATTCCTGTTTCTCAAGAGTAACACAGTTCTCTCCAAAAACATGGCAGAAACGGCAGCAATGCGAGTTATCACAGTGCCATCTTGTGGCCACTTCTCAGTGCTTCACTCATCTACTGTACTCGGGCAGCCCCGAGGGGCAGTGGTCAGCACTCCTGCCTCACAGTGCTGGGGCCCTGGGTTCAATTTCAGACCTGCAGTGCTATCTGTGTGGAGTTTGTATGTTCTCCCCAGGTTTCTGTGGGTTTCCTCCGTGTGCTATCGCTACCTCTGACAAAACATACTGGTGCGTTAATAGGCTTGTGGGAAAACTGGCCCTGCCGTGAGTGTGCGTGTTTAGCTCACGAGCCTGGGGAGGGGAGGGGCAGGAGTGCTCGCTCACCCCAGTGACTCACAGCACTTAGCTCACAGCAGCTCGTTCACCATGAGACCCATGATCTCCCACCATGTCTCCAATACAAACAAGCAACACAATAACATAAGCAAGTAACAATAAACATCCAAACTAACTTCTTATTTGTTTTTTTAGCTGATGCTGTTATATAAAGGGACTTACGTTTGCACCCATTTATACACCTGGGAATTTCTCTGGAGCAATTTAGGTGAACAAACTTGCTCAAGGGTACCACAGCAGCGTCTCACCTGGGATTTGAAGCAGCAACCTCCCACTGAACCCAGACCACTGTGCAACAACGCTGCCCCTAAAAACTAGCATATGCCAGACCTGTGTAAGAACATGTCTCCTGCTGGCTGGTGATGATCTGTGTCTGTCTGAAAGTGGAATGTGATCCCTCACCAACTCTTTGCGAGTCTGTTACTAAAAAACTCACAGAACAGAAGTATCGCGGCACTCCCTGGCTTGTGAAATATGTCCCACTCAATTGGGGGAATAAAAACTCTTCTCTGTTTCCTGGCAGGCTCTTGGGAAGTGCTTGACAGTACTCATTTCAAAACCACCACCTTTCTGTCTGTTGTAAAGGATTTTGAAAGAGCAAGAGAGGCAAGATAAACTCGATCAACACAGAGCACAGTGGAATGATGAAAAGAAGTCAGACGTGATTGCTTATCTCTTGCAATCAGTCTACTTCCCAGAGAAATTAGTTTCACTCAACCCTCCTAGTGCACAAAGTGTTTTAAAGAAAAATGCAATTGTGTGACTGCTCTGTTGAAGAAAAAGAGAAAAAATAAATGCCCGTTGACTTCAACTAAATAAACTAATGGTGCTATAACATACTTATTCATAACACTCCTTGTAAAAATGCCTATTTTAGTTTAAAATACAGAAAAATTGACATCTCCATAGCTTGTCATCAAAAATGTATAAAAACTTAAGTCCCGACCAATGTGTTAAATCAGTCATCAGAAACCCCAAAAGGCTCAGACAGGATCATAACCTGGATGGGCGCCAGTCCAACTTCGCATTGAGCTAGACAGCCAAGCCACATCCCGATTCATGTAACAGAAAACCTTAGGTATTAATGAATGTGGAAAAGCAATGGGTTTTTCCGAGTTGTGGTACTGAAAGAAACAAATTAAGTTTATATTCGCCAGATTCACTGAGATGTTCAAACAGAAATATCACACACCTCTGCTTCACAAGTATCAAATGTGAGAAGATGATGAGTGAACTTTGTCTGCTCATGAGCCAACCACAAAAACGTGCTAAACACATCTCATGCTAAATTCATACATCTTTTGTTTGACACCTGTGTCGTAAGAATGATAACATATATTTTTTAGAAAGAATAGATGCAGAATGTGACAGTACTTTCCATAGATCAAACTTGCCCTTCTAGATAAGCCTGTCTGCACGTGTGATGTTTGTCAGGCAGGCATACATGATCCCCTCTTTCCCATTTAAAACAGCGACACTTCACTTGTGTTTCCGATTCAGCTGTTGAAACACATCGTGAGTGTGGCCTTTCGTATGCGAGTGCGGGGTTTGAAATAAAAAAATAAAACTACTTTAATACAAGTTAAAGTAATGTTCAAGACACCAAGGAATGTTCTTTTGTAAAACACTTGAACTATAAGGAAATAAAAAGGAACTAAGGGAAATAAAATAAGTTAATCTAAATCCTGTTTTCAACAGTGTTGAAATACCAACAGGCAAGTGAGACGGCAGCCAAGTTCACTGAAAGACTGAGGAAATCTTCCTCTTTCTACATCTTGATATGGTTCTGGCACCAGACTCAAAGACAGGCTATCCCCTTGGTCTATGCTAACATTCAGCTTGTAATGCAACAAGTAATAGGTTTATTCCATGCTGAAAAGAGAAGAGAGAAAACAACGTTTCGGCTGCGAAGCCTTCTTCAGGTGACCCAGCTACCCACCTGAACTACTGCAGCCTGTAATGATCATTAAACAACCGTATAAATCAAAATATGAATGCTGGGAAATGACTCGGTGCCAGATTCTCAGCTACACACACATTATCTAGCTTCCAGGAACTCTGAGCCACACAAAATGTGCTTCTGCAAACTTCTAGGCAAGTTAAATTTAACCAGCAGAAGAGAAACTGAGGTCTCCCCTCCTGTCGAAGGCCAGCCCGAAGCGGTTCTTACCTGATGTAGGGTACCAGGGGATCCACATGCTGCAGGAGGACAGCCGTGATGTAGGACAGGATGAAGGCGGCGGAGGTCCAGAGCACGAGCACGACAGGGAGGGCACTCAGGCCCTGCTGGAACCACAACATGGCCACACCAGCCCCAGCTCAGAGGACGCACGTCAGGGAGACACCATGGGCCAGGCCTGGGGCTGTGGGGAGAGGCACGCCGAAAGTTGAGGCTGATACAGGACAGGGCACCGCGAGATCAAAGTCCTCCCCACTCGGGGAGAGGAAAAAACCCCCACACGCGTGCACGCACGGCCACAGAGACGCAGGATCGACACTCCACTCCACCTCGCCCAGCTAGGGCTGGATGACAGCGCCGATGTCACGGTCAGGGTGTTCGAATCACAGACTAGCAGGCCCGCCTGCTGCTCTTCTTGTGACTTTCCTCAAATGCCTGACAAACTCCCTGGAAGTCAGCTGACTCCTGAGCCCCAGTTCACTTTCATTTCTGCTTTTTTTTTTTTGTTGGGGTGAAAATAAATAAAGAGCTATGTAAATAACTGGCGCTACAGAGTTCTGGACTGTTTCTCCACATGCAGGCTGTGTACTGAAACACACACACACACACACACGGCAGGAAATGGTTCTGTTCTGTCATATGATACCACATTAACCCTCATGTGGAAATCCTTGAATTACTCGTAGCATGAAGAAAGAGATAAAACATCAGCTCTGCTGCCTTTTGCCCTTAATAACAAGAACAGCAATAACCCACTCCTCACAATATTAAATGTCAAAGTGAACTGTGCTGTCCAGAAAACAGGCATGCTAAAACTGGTAACCCTCATATACTGTATGTGAAATACATCTGATCCGTTTTTTTAATATATTACAATATGATTGTGTTGCCATTGCACATGCCACTCACAAAAACGTCACTCGCTCACTCTATAGCTCCATGACAAAAATTAAAACACTTTTTAAAAGCACGTTAAAAAATATAACAACAAAAATGAGGTCGTTTAGAACTCGAACTATATATTTTGTCTTTATAGCTAGATTTTGCATTCACTATGTATGATTCAGATGTTTAGCAAGGGTGCAGCCGGTAGTATACTTCCGCTGCAAATTTGTAGAGATAAAGGTCCAGTTGTCAACCCTAGTCAGACTGATCAATTTACTGCTCTTCCTGTGGTGCAGTCAGTCTGCTCACTATAGCGAACCATGCCCCAAAACTACTTATGACAAGGAGCTCCTATCTAAAGATGTGACCCAGCGCTTTACAAAAAGAATCTGACAGGGTAAAGGACGATTCCGACAGGAAAGTTCATAGTTTTAGTCTAATTATGGAAAACAATTAGACTACAGTAAACGAACACTGATTAGTCCTCGTGATCAGTTAAGCTAAATGGGACAAACTAAAGCGCTTATTGTTAAATTAACAAATCCAATTGAAATTACAAATAATTTAATTACACAATTGAATCTTCAGATTTGTGACGATACAATTCAAGCCCAAATACAGTAATTAAAAGCTAACAAATCCCACGAAAATATACGCAGTGATGTATACAAGAATTCAACCGCCCGACGGTTCCACTTTGAGTTTGCAATTACATAATCGCTATGTATTGTAAGATTGTAAGTGTAGCCTTTTGGCACAATATTACCAATTCAGTCGTACAGTTCTCTTTCATTTTCACAATTATATAATTGAAAGTACAATACATTGTCTGTCATTGCGCGAGATTATATCTATATTTTTCGAACTTCCTGTACGTCCTTTGTACTGATGCAGTCGAGAAGAGATTACTTGATCGCTTCCCAAACCTGTGCATCTTCGTGGCGTGATCACACAGGCGAGTTTTACACTAGCTTCACAGAAGTCGGTGGTTGTAAACAGCAACAGGTGTTGGGAAAGGTCTATATAGGCTTTTTCGCTTGGGGGGCATTAAAGAAATCATGCTCCGTACACGGCTAGAAAGTTGTCTATAAAAGCTGTAATAATTAATAGGCTGCGTCAGATGCAGATATACTATAACGCCCCTTTTACGAGTTTTACAGCCGATATAAAAGCAAAAGTATGTTGATTTAATTAATCCATAGCATCAACAGTGCCTGTTCTGGAAAAATAAAGGAACTGTTCACGGCTACATACTGTAAGTAACCAAACTCACCTTCCTCTCTCCTCGTCATAGCATGTTAAAACATCCTCCTCAATGTGTAAATTGCGGACAAGTTATAGTTTCAACAAGCTAGTGTTTCAAAGACTAATTACTCTGTCTGATGTCCGTGCACTGAATCAAAATCATGCAGTTTCTTTCCTCCTCTATTTTATTTTACCGGCGTCCTGAACTCTTAGGCTATACTGAGGCAAGCGGCGACAGTTCCGTCCAAAATCACAATCTTGACGGCTTAAACCGTTGGCCAGGAAGCGACTTGCTTCTCACACGTTCAAGCATTAAAGTGATATCACAGAAACAATATCCTGCAGGCAAAGGGCAGAAAGAGAAGTGATTTGCGGAGCAGCGCCATCTATCAAATGGAATTGTTACTGTTATCTTTTAATCGGTTTACACAGTCCTTTGTGCATTGCTTTACTTTAATAGGACAAACGGTTGCAGATCGCAATTTATGGCTTTGAACCCTTTGAAAACCTCCCCTAGATTATAACCCCTTTATTATTATTATTATTATTATTATTATCATGATTAATAATAATAATAATAATAATAATAATAATAATAATAATAATAGTCTTATAATGATATGATGAAACAATTGATTACCATATATAATACTTAATAACTCGACATTCAATACAAAAAAAAAACACGGTTGTTATCTACTTGTCGAGGGACAGGGAAAATAAGAAAGAAAAGTTTGCTCGTCTTCGAATGTCTCATCGCCGGTTTTATACTGGCAGCGCTGCGGGTCTCAGACGGGAAAGCGGAACAGCTGCCACCTGGCTCGGAGTCGAGGAAGGCGCCAATCTTGTCTCGAGCGCGGCCCCGCGCGGCCAGGTGCCTCGCCAGAGCACAATCGGCGTCGACGTCGACGACAACGTTTCGGATAAACATGGTATGTGTAAATAAACAAAACTTTTTCCCGAACTTATAATTCTGTCAAATGTAAATGACCACGTAGGTCACGAGATCTGGAATCGCTGGAAAGTGGTGTCCTAGCCCACAAGAAGATCGAAAATTGAAAAGACTGTGTTTCCCGATGTCTTCTCGCCCTTTCTCTGTCATCAGATGGCTACACAGAAGTCGAAGGTTAACGACAGGAGTGTTTCCACTAAACCACGCAAGGAGAAGCCAGGCTTTTGTGAGACTGCAGGGCAGTGTAACCTCACTGTCTATTCCGAGGGACTCGATGAAAGCGTGGAGCCCAGTTACCAGGAGGATCCGCATGGTACAACAACCTCTATTTTAACAGTTACTTGACTTTACTACTTCGTAATGCTACTTTGATATATATTTTTTTTTCCTCATGAAAAGACAGTTTTCAAATGTTCTGTGGAAAAGTCCTGGAGGGCTCCTGTGTATGGAGTTCTCCTTAAAGAATCAGCACATGAGGAACTGTGAGAAGCCGCCAAACTGTGGTCCAGTTAGGCCAATAACGACCTGATTGAGGGTGGCCAGCTGGCCGGGAAACCTGTTTACACATTGCACCTCCCAAGACTAGGATTGGTGATACTTAGTCTAAGAAATCACATTAAAACAGGTTTAGACAATCCTGATCCTTGAGAGCGAGTTTTGTTTCTGGTCTTCATTCCAAATAAGATCTTAATGACTTAATTGAA